CGGGTGCACCGACCTCCGTTCCTGAGGCTCAGGAAGAGGAACTCTCCTGCCCAGCGCCCCGGGCCTGGCGGGGCACTTGGACCTCTCTTTTCTGGGGCCTGGCGGCCACGAGGCCAGTTCCTCGGAGCCCATGTGGGCAGACCTGGACGTCGTGCATCTGCTTGTTCCTAGCTAACGCTGACCATCGTCCGGCAGACGGGGGGCTTGGGCGTCAGCATCGCGGGAGGCAAGGGCTCCACCCCCTACAAGGGGGATGACGAGGTGAGGGTCTTGATGCCTGGGGCCCTGCCGCAACCCACTGCTCTAGGTGATGGGGTGCTCCCACACATGGGGAGAGGTGTGGCCAGCCTTCTTTTCCATGGGGCTCGCCACCTGCGGGGCCACCTAAGGCAGCAGGCCCAGCACCAGAACCACCCAGGCCTGCACCCTGGAAAAGAGGGCTGGGGAGCAGGGCCCCCTGGGCATGGGGGCTGAGGGCTGCCAGACTCTGGACGGCAGCTGACCAGCTGACCTCACCTGCTCCTGCAGGGCATCTTCATCTCGCGGGTGTCGGAGGACGGCCCTGCGGCCCGGGCCGGCGTGAGAGTTGGGGACAAGCTGCTGGAGGTGGGTCTGGGAGCTGCGGGGCTGTGCCCTGGGCCTCTCCCCGCTGCTCGGCAGGTTCCTGCAAGGTGCTCTCCCAGCCCCCCACTGGCACCCCAGGAAGGGTGCTGTGCTCTGGCGCCCTGTCTTAGGGAGTTGGCCAGTTGCAAGTCTGGGTGGGCCATGAGCTGGGGGCCCCAGAGCCCACTGTGCCCAGGGGGCTCGCAGGAGGGTGAGTGCATGGGTCCTCTTGCTTCCCTGGCCCTGGGCTCCCAGCAACACCACTCTGGGGGCAGAGCCATCAGGCCTTGGCTAGCCCTACCAGGGCATTGAGCACCGCCGCCCGCCGCCCACCCGCAGGTGAATGGCGCGGCCCTGCAGAGCGCCGAGCACCAGGAGGCCGTGGAGGCCCTGCGGGGGGCAGGCGCCACCGTGCAGATGCGGGTGTGGCGGGAGCGCATGGTGGAGCCGGAGAATGCCGTCACCGTCACACCGCTGCGGCCCGAGGACGACTACTGCCCACGGGACAGGCGAGGGGGCAGCCTGCGCCTGCCCCTGCCTGAGCCTGGGCCCCCTCGCCAGCGCCACGCTGCCTGCCTGGTGCGCAGCGAAAAGGGGCTGGGCTTCAGTATCGCCGGTGGGAAAGGCTCCACGCCGTACCGGGCTGGCGACACGGTGAGGGGTGTGTGGGGGCTGGTGACATGGTGAGGGGTGTGTGGGGGGGCTGGTGACATGGTGAGGGGTGTGTGGGGGGGCTGGCGACACGGTGAGGGGTGTGTGGGGGCTGGTGACATGGTGAGGGGTGTGTGGGGGGGCTGGTGACATGGTGAGGGGTGTGTGGGGGGGCTGGCGACACGGTGAGGGGTGTGTGGGGGGGCTGGTGACACGGTGAGGGGTGTGTGGGGGGCTGGCGACACGGTGAGGGGTGTGTGTGGGGGCTGGTGACACGGTGAGGTCGAGGGCAGTGTGTGCAGGTACCCTGGTGGCGAAGGGACAGTGGGCCTAACTGACGCTGTCGCCACCCCCAGGGCATCTTCATCTCCCGGATCGCGGAGGGCGGGGCAGCCCACCGAGCAGGCACCCTGCAGGTTGGCGACCGAGTCCTCTCAGTGAGTGGGCAGGGCAGGGACGTGGCCGGGGCCAGCCCCCATGAGCCAGGCCCCTGACCATGCTCCGTTCATCAGATCAACGGGGTGGATGTGACGGAGGCCCGCCACGACCTTGCTGTGTCCCTGCTCACCACGGCCTCGCCCACAATCGCACTGCTGCTAGAACGGGAGGCTGAGGGGCTCCCGCCCCCCAGCCCACCCCCACACTCCCCCCCGCCCCCTGCTGCCGCCACCATCCCGGCCATTGCCAGCACCCCAGAGCCTGGGCCACTGAGACTGGCCCCTAGCCTGCTGGCTGCTGCCCTCGAGGGGCCCTATCCAGTGGAGGTGAGGCCCTGGGTGTCCAGCACCAACCAGTTCCAGGACCTTGGGTGGGCACCAGACCTCTCCCAGGGCCCCCTCCCAGCATGACTTGCCCCCATGGGGCTAGGGCCGGTGGGCGGTGACTGGAGTGGCTGTCCCAGACAGCTGGACGAGCCTGCCCTCCCCACGGCCGGCCGTCATGTGCCCAGGAGCACTCCTGTGCGTTTGTGGCTGAGGTGAGCACCCTCCCCTGCACCGCCTCCAACACCTGCCCGGTGTTCCCAGGAAGTCCGGCTGCCCCGAGCCGGTGGCCCGCTGGGACTCAGCATCGTGGGCGGCTCCGACCACTCCAGCCACCCGTTTGGCATCCAGGAACCAGGGGTGTTCATCTCCAAGGTAGTGGGCAGCGCCCACCTGGGGTGGGGCTGACTGCAGGATGCTACCTATCACCCAGCCCCTACCAGCCCTCCACCTTCGCAGGTGCTGCCTCGTGGCCTGGCTGCACGCAGCGGCCTGCGCGTGGGCGACCGGATCCTGGCGGTGAATGGGCAGGACGTGCGAGAAGCCACGCACCAGGAGGCAGTCAGCGCCCTGCTGCGGCCCTGCCTGGAGCTGTGCCTGCTGGTGCGCCGGGACCCACCGCCTCCCGGCATGCGTGTAGGTGCCAGCCTGACTGCGGGTGGGCGGGCCAGAGGGGCTGGGGCCGGGGCTGACCTGTCCTGCCACGCCTCCCAGGAGTTCTGCATCCAGAAGGCCCCCGGGGAGAAGCTGGGCATCAGCATCCGAGGGGGCGCCAAGGGCCACGCAGGGAACCCCTGCGACCCCACGGACGAGGGGGTGTTCATCTCCAAGGTGAGGCTGCCAGGGCCGGTGGGTCCGGGGCGGGGTGCGGGTAGCCAGCACGTCCCTCCTGCTCTCTCCAGGTCAGCCCCACGGGTGCAGCCGGCCGAGACGGGCGTCTGCGGGTTGGGCAGCGCCTCCTGGAGGTGGACCAGCAGAGCCTGCTGGGCCTGACGCACGCAGAGGCCGTGCAGCTGCTGCGGGGCGTGGGCCATACCCTGACCGTGCTTGTGTGTGATGGCTTTGATGCAAGTGCCGAGGCCGCCCTGGAGGTCAGTGGGGTCTGCCCGGCATGGGGGGTGCTTGCATGCACACGCAGCCACCCTGATGATTATGGGACCCATCTGGCACGGGTGAGGTGCATAAGAGCACGTGTACACACACACACACACACACACACACACACACACACACACTGCCATCCTGGAGGTCAGTGGGGCCTGCCCGCCATGAGAGATGAGGGCACACACACCCTTGCCCCCCAGGGAGACAGAGGGGTGAGGCGGAGGGAGACAGCCAGGCCTGGGATTGTGCCCCTTGTCCAGGTGGTCCCCCTGAGAAGTGCCAGGCAGGTGCCCACTCTCATGGGGGCCAGTGTTGCAAGCTCTCAGACGATGGCTGGCCGGCCTCCCCAGGCAGGCCCGCCCCAGGCCCCAAGGTGCACCCTGAGCACAAGGGCAGCCTGGCCCCACGGTGCAGCGTGGCGGGGCTGTGGGACGTGTGCCCCATGCTTCGCCAGTAGGCGGGCTTGGGCTGTCTGTCCCTTGTCCCTGTCTGATGTGGGGTCCAAGGTGGCCCTCCCTGGGCGGGTGCCCCTCAGCTCACACAAGGGTCATCCCTTGCTATCGAATCACTTGGCCCATGAGCTGTCTGTCCACCTCGGGGACGTCCCTTCCGCTTTGCCCCGTCCTACTGCTCGGCTTCCCACCCGGCTCCCTAGGCCGACTGGACTCCCTGTTCCCGGTCCTCGCGTCCATGCCTTCACCCACAGCGCAGGGGTGCTGCACCTTTCCTGCCCCTCCGACCCGTGCGACCGCAGCACCCAGTGGCCCCTCCCATCAGGCCACTAGCTCTGCCGAGTAAGGAGGGCGCTGCACCCAGGCTGGGGCGGGGTCGCCCAAGAGAGGGCATACTACCCAGGACCCCTGCTCAGTCGTGTCCACGGCAGGTGGACTTCTCCACTCGTCCCTCCAGGGGTCAGAGAGGTCCACGATGCAAAGGAAACAAGAAGGCTGTCTGTGTCCATGCAGACTAGGCTTGAGGACACTGTGGGGCAGTGGCTCGGGCCTGTAGTCCTACGAGTCGGCCTCCACTCAGAAGCAGTGCGCTTGGGTATTTCTGTTTTACTCAGTGGTGTTCATAGCGGCTGTAGGGCACGGAGAGCTGTCTCGGTGGTTTTCAAAGGCTGTAACTACAGGACTAGAAATCCCAGAGCGGCTGGTGGTTTAGAACTGTTGACCTTGCTGATCACAGCCCAGCCATCACCACGGCACCACCATGGCTCCTGAGAGTATCTGCAGGGCAAGGGCTTTCATTTCCCTTGAGCGACATCCTTCCTCCCTCCTCGTGGGACTGCCGCTCTGCTAGGAAAACCTTCCCTTTCTCGAGACTGAAATGCCCACCCTTCTTATCCCCTGGCATTTCTGTGACTTAAAAGTAGCATCGCTCAGTCCCTGAGGGTTTGTTCCCAAGATGCGAGTGTGTCCTGTTGTGGGAACACCACCTCGTGAGCCAGCCCCCCACCTGTATCTGCGTGCCGGTCTCTGAGGCTGCCAGCCTCACTTCCAGCAGGCAAGCTGGACCCCGGCGGAGCCCCTGGCTGCTGGCTGACATTCGTCTTGGGTGGCGGCCGGGTGTGGCAGAGGGGCTTGTCCTTCTCCCGCCCTGGTCTTTCCTGACAACACGGCCTCACCAGCCTCTTCTAGAGCAGGCCCGTTTGTTCCTGCGGCTCTGTGGGACTAGGGGCCCAGTAAGTTGCTTTTGATAAGCTCTCTGGTTAGCCCCTCCCTCTGCCCCGGGAGGCAGTGGTGGGAGTAGCTCCCTGTCCACATGTGGCTCCTCAGATGCTGGGGCACAGGCTGCGGGCTCTGTGTGCCTGCCGCTCTGTCTGCTCCTGGGGACATGGACTCAATCACTGGGTCATGGCTTGTCCTGGGGCTCACGGTACCCATGGCTGCACTAGTGTGGGATTTGGGCGGGCTTCCGGCCCCTTGGCATGGCCTGTGGGTCCTCTCTTGGGCTTATGGTGCTGGGCTCATCTGGTTTTGTCATCATCTGAAGGAGACAGGTGGCGGGCCCGAGTCTCCCAGTGTCTGGGTTCCGAGCGCTACTGCAACGTCACCCGGGGAAGGCTTTCGTGAACAGAGACGTCCTTTCTCGTAGTTTGGGAGTTTAGCTGTCAGCTCAGGGCCCTGGCTCTGGGGCAGGGCACTCTGTCTTGGTCATGGTCTTTGCTGTCCCTGCTCAGGTCTAGTCTCTCTCCTCCCTCAGGGAAGAGGAGCTGGAACGCCCCGATGCCAGGCCTGTCTGCTAGTGTCACAGAGAGCTCACTCCGCAGAGCTAGTCCCAGGTGTCGGACTCGGGTCTGCAGACCCTGGGGCAAGACTTGGTCCACGTTGCCAGTGGCCTCTGCTTCTCTGTGCCACTCTGGCTGCAAGAGCCCCTCTGTCACCTTCTGTCTGCTTTGAAGCTGGGTCACCTGGGGCAGTCCCTTTCTCCCATCTCACTGCTGTTCGGAAGGCCCTGCTGGTGCCTACTCCAGGTGGCCAGGAGTAAAGCTGCCCTGCACATGTGGCACCCCTTGTGAGGTGGCCAGCCTCCCGCCCCCCATGGGTCTGTCATCGCCTGAGCCCAGCAGGCCTGGTCTGAGAACTGGGCACGTGGCCACCTGACATTACAGGTCGACACAGCTAGGGGTGACTTGCAGGGCTGCCCCAGTGGGGCCAGGGAGCAGCAGGACCTGCCCCAGCCTGTCCTCCTGCCCCCCAGGTGTCCCCAGGTGTCATTGCCAACCCCTTTGCTGCCGGGCTGGGCCACCGCAACAGCCCGGAGAGCGTCTCCTCTGTGGACCCGGAGCTGAGCCCCGAGGCCAAGGTCAGCTCCTGGGGAGCCTGGGGGTGGGGGCCAAGAGCCGGGGGCAGGCAATCCCTGGCCAACCAAAGTTTGTTCTGCACCCAGGACACGGAGCTTGCCAGTCAGACCCTGACTCAGGGGCTAGAGGCCACCGAAGCCAGGGTGAGTGGCTGGTCATCCCCACAAGGAGTTGGGCCCTGGCTCCCAGGTGGGCACGCATGGCTCAGGGCTGAGGGCCGGCTGGGCCGGGCACTCCGGGAGCCTTTATGTACTTTTGGCCAGTGTACCTCCAGGAGGTTGCGGCCCAGGGTGCCTATGCTTGTTTCCCACCCCCTCGGATCCTGGCTTTCTGCTGGTGCCCCTGCTGTGTCCCTCCCGCCCTCCACACTGTCACAAGAGCCTCCTCTGTTCTGCCCACCAGGGTCCAAGCCCAGAGCTGCTGAAGCTGGACTGCTGTGCCCTGGCTGCAGTGCCCAGCAGTGGCAGCATACTGAGGGTCAGTGTGGGGCCCTGTTGACACTGCAGGATAGGGCATTGCGGTGGGAGGAGTGGCTGGGCTGCCACGTCACGGAGCCTGCAGAAGAACGTGCAGGGACTGCCTCAGAGGGGTCTGGGTGTAACCTGACAGGCACTGGCCATCCAGGCATCGCCCCCTTGGGTCCCTGATCAGCCCATGGGCCACACCTCACCCTGAGAGTGAGTGTGAGCTGGACAAGCAGGGTGGAGGTCCCCAGGGAAGGCCCACTGCAGCAGGGTCACGCGCCGAGCCTCTGGAAGCCCTGCTGGTCCCTCTGAAGTCAACCTTGGGTGGGCAGGCGGACTGGGCAGGCACTGCTGAGCTCTAGCCAGCGGCTGCAGGGAGGGGTGGGCCCCACAGGCCTGGGGGCGGCTGAGTAGAGACTGCAGAGCCAAGGAAAGCCTTGGGCCTGCAGCAGCTGTGATTGGGGGGGGGGGGGCGTGTAGGGGCCAGGGACAGCTGGGAGGGTGTTCAGAACCAAAGATAGCTCACCAGGGTGTGCCTACCACCCACTACCAGAGCCAGTGGGAGGAGAGGTGAGGGGCAGTAGGGGGCTGCCCAGGACAACTCGGGAACTTGTGAAGCTGGGGAAGGGGAGGGGGGGGCGGGGGCAGGAGAGGAATGTGGAGGACTGCTGACCGAGGGGCCCACAGGAGAAGATCTTTGAGCCTAGGGCTGACCCTGGGGTGGGGGTGGGGGTGGGGGAGCAGGCCAGCTCCGGGCTCCCCGCGTCCTCTGCCCCTGGGTCCTTCTTCCCGCTCTTGAGCTCTCTCCCTGTCTTGCTGTGGTCTGTCCTTTTGTCTGTCTCCCTGTGAAGCTCCAGATGGCCCCTCCCGCCACCTTCCATAGACAGAGAACTTGCTGCCCAGCCCAGGCCTGGGGGACAGAGGGGGGAGGGGGAGAGCCTGGTGGACTCTCGGCGGCGGAGGCCGTTTGGCAAGAACCCCTTCATGCTGGCCGAGTGGCTGGCCAAGCCTCCCCTGGGACGACCCCTAGGGTGGGGGCAGGCTGGGGAGGTGAGGACCCGCTTGTGTGGCTGGGAGCCCCAATCCCCTCCTTAGCCACCAGCCCTGCTGGCCCTGGCCCACCCACCACCCCTCCTACAGGTGCCATCAGGGGCCACTGGAGCTCGGATAGCTGAGGCCCCCTGCTCCCCCAGCGGCCAGCAGGTGAATGTCCTGAGATATGGGTGCCAGAGACGGGAAGGGTAGTGGGAGCTGGGTGTAGGACCCCGGAGTTGCCTCCCACCTGCCCCGGGCCATAGTCTGGCTCACACTGGCCTCTCCGGCCATCCTCTGGCCCACAGTGTCTTCCCTGTTCCCAGGCACAGCCCTCCCTTGCCTGAGTGCCCACAGTGGGGTCGGGGAGGGGGTTTCTGAGACCATCTCTGAGGAGGCCTGCCACCCCCAGGCAGAGCTGTGCCCACTTAGGAGCGTTGGTCTCCCCTCCCTGCCTGCACATCCCAGCCAACCTTTCATTAGGGCCTAGCTGGGATACACACACACACAGCTGCACTGTGGGGGCGCGCGGTGTGGCCCCATCTGTGCACCCTCCACGGCTCTGTCTTTCTTTTCCTCCCTTCCCCCTTCCTGATCCCTGGTACCCACCCCTGCCCCTACAGACAAAACCCGGGGTGATCCAGCCACTGGCTCAGGCCTGGCCCAGGGGCTCCCCGGCCCCCAGGGACAGAGGTGGCCCCCATTCTGTGAGTTCACTGCCCTGGTGGGCAGCTTTGTCTACCCAGGACAGCGGGCACAGTGGGAGGGTGGTTGGCTCAGTGCCCTTTGTGAAGCGGGCAGCTGGTGGTGGGGCTGGCAGCGCAGGGTCATAATACGACACACACAACCCTGCCCCACAGCCACTATCCCCGCCATCTCCGGATGAGCTGCCCGCCAATGTGAAGCAGGCCTACCGGACCTTCGCGGCAGTGCCCACCCAGCACCCTCCCGACAATGTCTCGGTCCAGGTATGTGGGCTGACGAGGGCCCCGGTGCTGGCCCCCGCTGAAGTCGAGCTGGCCAAGTCTCAGCACCTACTCCCCTCCCCGCAGCCCTGCCTGCCCAGGCCGGCAGCCTCTCCAGAGCAGCTGCCCTTTCGTGAGAGGCAGAAGTACTTTGAGCTGGAGGTGCGGGTGCCCCAGGCCGAGGGCCCACCCAAGCGGGTTTCCCTGGTGGGCGCTGATGACCTGCGAAAGATGCAGGAGGAGGAAGGTGAGTAGGGGGAGGTAGGGGTTGGGGGGGGCGGGGCAGAGGCTGCGGAACTGACTCGTCTTTCCCACGCCAGCGCGCAAGCTGCAGCAGAAGAGAGCACAGATGCTGCGGGAGGAGGCCTTGGCAGCTCCGGAGGCGGGGCCCGCCCTGGACGGGGAGAGCCCGGACCAGCAGGAGGACGAGCCACCCTGGGCCCATGACGTGTCAGCAGGAGGGTGAGGGTCAGCCCGCCCCGAGCCTGGCGTTTCCCTTGCCAAAGCTGGCCCCCACCTGCCTGACTCCTGCCCCGGCCCCTCCCTCAGGCTCGGCCCGGCATCCCCACTGCCCCCGGGAGGCATTGCCCCTGTGCGGACGGCCAAGGCCGAGCGGCGGCATCAGGAGCGACTGCGCGTGCAGAGCCCCGAGCTGCCGGCCGTGCCCGAGCGAGCCCTGTCTCC